TTTCGTAAATAAGAGCTCCGTTAAATTTATGTTCTCGTTTGATTTTCATTATTTTCAAAATACATTTTTTTCTATCTTTTTTTCAACCACACATTTTTCAATAAAATAATATTACATGTAAACTCAAAATTTTTCCTTATTTTTTAACGACACATTCTCACTCAATCTACTATTCACCAAAATGCATTTTTAGCCAAAAAACGGAGCTCATACAGGCTCTAAGTGAGCTCCCAGAAGCAGGATAACATACCTCTCCCGAAACTGTAGTTGCATCATGCATCTCAGAATGAGCCTCTCCCTCAATCTGTCCATCGCTGTTGAGCATTAGCTTGAGCCTCCCTTCCCTTAGTAATTTTTCAGAACGGGCATGTCTCTGTGAAGGACACGAAATGGAGTTTCTGTAAGAGATGTCGTTTTGAGCATGTGAATGAGCTAGAAACACGCTAGATACTTTGATAGAATAGAGAAGCAAGTCATGAAATTGCAGCCACTAGAGACTTCAGAGCTTTTTATTGACAAAAAAACTATTCTCCTGAAGCACGACAATCAGATATTAGTTCATTATATTCATGAGAATGAAACAAAGGAACACGCATATTGTTTCTTATTTATGCCCAAGCACCTTCGATGTAATAAAAGTAGACCCTTGGGAATCTAAATTCACAAAAATCCTAAAATGTCAAAAGGAAAACAAAATCACACACACACACACACAAAAAAGCACACCTTTTAAGAAGCCAAATATTTCAAGAAGCAAAAGGATTATTTTGGATAAAAGCCACAGAAGGGGATTTTAGCCATTTCATTTTTATTCTTGCTAGTCAATCATGGGCAGGAGTATCCAGTACTCTCAACGTCTACTTTGGATACATGCCCAAATAATAGAATGTTAAGGGAGGCCAACGCATACATACATACATACATACATTCATCGAGGATAAATATTATCAAATATTGCATAGAAAAGAAAAACACTCTCTAAGTGAATAATTGCCTTGGAGGTGAGATGCGCCTTTAGAGTCTCCTCTGACAAGCATACGATCCTAGGGCATAGCCTGCACTTGAAAACTGATTTTAATTTTAAGACACAGTCTGCTGCATCTAATGGGATTTCATCCTTTTTTTGACCGTGCTCGGTATTGACAGGTTCAGCATTGCCTTTGCCACTTGGATGACTTTCAGTGATGATTTGCATGTGTTTTTGAGTTGTGATATCGTCATCACTTGTTGGTAAACCTGCAAAAAATAATGTTGTTGAACTATAAGAATGGCAGCATATGCAGGAAAGAAGGCTAAACATTTGAAGAATATATCTAACAATCAATAATTTCTTAAGAGAGGTTTCAGAGCATTGTACATGCTACACGGGCTTGCATGGATCTATTGTGCCAGGAAGAGGCATATAATCGAACCTAAAGTTGTCGGAAGCAATATAGAACAACTGAATTACTCAAGGCTCTCCACAAAGTTTTGGAAAAGGTATATGAATCCTTGTGCCATTGTACACTACTCCATGACAGGCCATATCTTCAATTATAACGAGTTCTTATTTAATTTTCTTATTTTATGTAAATTTTAGAATCAACACAACCAAATAAACTCCCACATCATCAGAAGAATTGCATCCACATGGATTCATGGAAATAAAAAAATGTACAATTTCCAAGGAAAGAAAATTGATGCTACACCCATTTTCTAGAGATCTGAATCAAGCTGCAACTTGCAGCATATGACAAACCTGAACAACGATGTAATTGTATTAAATATTATAATAATGCTTCCATGCAGGCCACTAAAATTGCAAGCAATATCTGCACAAAAGCCGATGCATTAAAATAAATTATTGATGCAACTCTGAGGCTCTGAGTAATATAAGATGCACAAATAGTATCATTACTTTACCAGAACCAAAAATCTGTCTCAGAGATGCAAACTACCTTGAGGAAGAAAACTGGAACTTACAGGATCAAGATGGAATAAGTATTAATGCAAGAAGCACATGGTTCAAGTTGAACTTAGATTCAATGACTCTAAAATCCTGCACAAAATTTCTATACAAATGGCTTTCATTTTTTATTCAAAGAACGGGATATTGACAAGCATCTTGATACGAACAGAGGGGAGATACCAGAGAGAGAGAGAGAGAGAGAGAGAGAGAGAGAGAGAGTTACGCGAGCTTAAGTGACTAAAGAGCTCTATTAACCCTGGACAGAGAAATTGAAAAGGGCAGGAACCAAGTTTAATATAGAAAGATTGGAATGTTAACTGGTTTTTGGATTGACGGTCAGAGCTTTTTTGGCCAGAAGTTAGGCTATTTGGGATTTGTGTGTATAGTGTGTTGTTTTCATCACGAGAGGAGAACATAAATACCAATGAAGCTTTTCTACCATCACATAAGTAGCATTCATGAAACATACACAACAAGCAGAAACACAGTACTATTTGAAGTATCTCAGTGTTCAAAACTCTGCACCATGTAATGATGATAGTGCAAAGACAGAGCACGGTAGACTAATGTTATATAACCAGAGCACAAAAATCAAGAAATGGCCCATTCATTTATGCCAAACAAATTTTCATTAGTGTATTTACCAATCCTAAACTTAGTCTCATGTAAAGTTCAATAGATTATAAACCCTGTTCGGAAAAATATCCCAAAAACTGAATCTTTCAAAGAACAAAGTTAAATACCTGATGAATCAAGATTAACTTCATTTACTGAACTATCCTCACTTTCATATCCTGAAAGACGAAGAGAAGACAAATGAATTCACTGTAAATATAATCTATGAATTAAGTCGTGGAAATTCAAAAACTAACCAGTCTGATTTTCAACAATTGTCAAGAAAAATTATGTAATCAATAAACATGCAATAAAACACAGAATGCTTATGGAATACTACCAAGAAACAGATTTTCACTACCAGATGAGTAATTATGGATTAATTTTAAAGGCGGAAAATTCAATAATTTACGTAAAGAAGCTACCTTGAAGTTTCATCTCAAGATATATACAAAAACACAATATTCCCCAAAAATTGACAATAAATGGAAAGAAAATTGCATAACTACTGATTTATAAATACCAGAAGAAGAGGAAGCTGCATTGTTCTCTCTCGATTCTGCAACCTCATTTTCTTCTTCATCTTCTGTTTCCTCTGTTGCCTCAACCTCTGCCTCTACTTCGGAGTCAGAAGAAGAAGATGATGAATCGGAGGGAGCATCCATGTTACCATGTTCAAGCCTGTAAAATCTCCTTTTTATCATTTTCTTTTGCCTCTTCTATTCTCAACTGCAAGAAATAAAGAAAAACAATAAACCAACGCTCACTAAAGAATAAAGTGTCTATACAGTTACATATATTCTCAGCTGCCAAAGTTTCAGCTTCTTTTTTTAAAATTAAAGCATTTTTTAAACCCATCAGATTCAATGGCTAATGGGTTAGGTAAATAAATTTAAATTTCACATTGAACCAATCAATTGTTGTGTACTTTTCTCGCTTTTACTACAAATGCAGCAGTAGTTATGAAAATAGACTTTATAAAGGTAAAAAAAAAAAACCCTAATTGCTTCGTGAAATCGAATGAATCCCAAAAATGACGGTGCAATTTTTATGTACCTATGTATATAAACTCATTATTTCGAGTTCATGTACCCAGAATTTCCTGAAAAATCAATCCTTTCCTACTGTGGTGAGATTTATGTAAAAATCATGAATACTAACAACAAATACCAGCGTCAATAAATGTATTTACAGAAAAGTGCAAACGCGTATAGTGAGAGAGAGAAGAGGACGACGACCTGAAGAATGAAAACGGCTGATTGTAATGTCGTAAGTCGTAATACGAGGAGGAGGGTTTTGGTTAGAAGTAATAGTGATACACCAAAACTTTGAGTTTTGATATTTGAACCTCCAAGTTTTGGTGCAAGTTCTCATTGACCCCAGATTTAAAAAAAATAAATCGGATCGACCCATCCAGAATAGGTGGGTGTTTGGTTAACACTAAAATTAGATTTTCAGTAGACTGTGATAGAAGTTTTGGAAATATGAGGTTGAAAAATCCATGACGTGGTTAATATTGATAGCTTAAAATCGAGACAAATGGGACCTAAAATAATTTGATGACGTAACGATCAAATCAGTCAAAATTATCTAGAAAAAAAAGGGATGAATCGCATCCTTGACGGACCCCACATACCCTGCCATGTCCTGAGCTTTGATGAAGGAGGTAAATCGCAGATTATGCCTCCAAGGGTACAGGGTGAAAGACTGCTTGTACACTGCCAAATTCATATTTCAGGATTCGAACTCTTGACGCGACAACCTCAAACAAAGCTGGAGTTTTTCCATCTTTACATTTTACCCCTTCCTTTTACCACTTGGAGATATGCTGGGGGCCAAAATTATCTATAAATGGAATGGTCAAATCGCTATCTACCATATTCTCTTTTCACTGCTACCATTATTTGATTTACTAAGAAAATCGCAGCACTTCAAATGGAGGATGCCGATCAAGAAAGGTCAGGATCACTAGTGGTTGACGGGAACACGTTGGTGGCCATGTGCCTGGCGCATGCCGGCGTAGATAGGATGTTTGGGGTTGTGGGAATCCCTGTTACATCACTCGCGAATCGTGATGTGGCTTTAGGGGTCCGGTTTATTGCTTTTCACAACTAGCAGTCTGTGGGATATGCAGCCTCAGCCTATGGGTATCTTACGGGACGCCTTTTGTTGCTCCTTACTGTGTTGGGGCTTGGTTGTGTCCACAGCCTTGCCGGACTTTCCAACGCAGCTGCTAATGCCTGGCCTATGGTCATGATTTCCGGATCCTCCGATTAGAGTTTCACCGGTCGTGGCGACTTCCAGGAGCTCGATCAAATTGCGGCAATTTAACCCTTCTTGAAATTCTCAGCCAAAGCTACCGATATTACTCGGATTCCCGCCTCTGTTTTCAGCGTCATTGATTGGTCTGTTGCCGGACGACCTGGTGGGACTTACTTGGACCTCCCGACGGATGTGCTTTACCAAACAATTTCGGAATCTGAGGCCGAGAGATTAATTATCCAAGCTGTGAATGAAAGAAACAAAAAGCTACTTGAAAAGCCAAGGATTAATGATTCAGAAATCTAAAAGGCAGTTGAGTTGTTAAGGAAAGCTTGGAGGCCTTTAATTGTGTTTGGAAAGGGGGCAGCATATGCTAGAGCTGAAAATGCATTGAGGAAACTAGTGGAGAGCACTGGAATTCCAATTTTGCCTATCCCTATGGGGAAGGGGTTGCTTTCAGATGACCACCAGCTAGCAGCCACTGCTGCCAGGTCAATGGCTATTGGAAAATGTGATGTGGCATTGGTGGTTGGCGCTTGGCTTAACTGGTTGTTGCATTTTGGGGAGCCACCCAAGTGGTCAAAAGATGTGAAGTTTATACTTGTTGATATATATAAGGACGAAATTGAGTTGAGAAAGCCAACTTTGGGCATATTGGGGGATGCAAAAGATGTATTAGAAAAGTTACATAAGGAGATTAACGATGGTCCATTTTGTTTGGGGAAGACTCACCTTTGGGTTGAGGCAATAAAGAATAAAGTTAAGGAGAATGTGGCGAAAATGGAGGTACAGCTGGCAAATGAGGTAATGCCCTTCAATTTTTTGACGCCTATGAAGATTATTAGGGATGCCATATTGGGGATGGGCAGTCCTGCTCCCATACTAGTTTCTGAAGGAGCTAATACCATGGACGTTGGTCGCTCCGTACTGGTTCAGATAGAGCTTAGAACGAGGTTGGATGTAGGGACTTGGGGGACAATGGGGGTTGGTCTTGGATACTGCATTGCCGCTGTAGTGGCATCACCTGATCGGCTAGTTGTGGCTGTTGAAGGTGACTCGGGATTTGGGTTCAGTGCGATGGAAGTCGAGGTATGTTACCTTCATTAGAGTGCAATATTTTTCTTTGTCTTCCTGTCTCTATTGCATCTTACTGTGGCCTGTCCTATTCTATAACAACACTATGTTTTTGGTAACTATGTTTTGTTGTTTACTGCTATCACTTGCAATGTTGTTCCTTTTTATGATGAACAGGAAGTGTATAGGAAATGGAGTTCAAAGTGTTTTTTTCTCGTGTAAGTTTTATAATGTCTTCCACTTCAACTGCGATTTCCCTCCCATTCAAAACACTTATGGGTAACATTTTTCTCTTGTGCCAAAGTCAGAGAGTTATATATTGTTACTCTGTGGATCTTTTGTAGTGATTAATGCAGTGTAATAACTATCTTATGTCCCGTAATTTAGGTTACTCATTTTCAAGATCACCATTTTCTTATTGGTAACTGAAAAGTTTTTAATCGAATTTAGAACCTAACGCACAGCGAAATAAGAGTAATTAAAAGCAACAAGTTACTTTTTAATTGTTTTCAGATGATTATGTCAATCAAATCAATTTATCATAAATTTGAATACCGCAGTTTGTAAATCGAAAGTGGTAAATAACACCGATATGATTACGAAGGAAATCCTTCACAAAGGATTTGTAAGTTAACAATCCATTGTAAACGATGAGACTAACAGTATGGTCCAAACCAGACTAACTCTCCTCTCTCACCTTTTTCTGTAATCACCTTGTCCTTCTTGGACTGCTTGCCCCTCATATCAGCTCCCGACCTCTGGTATCGCTTATCTCCTGTGGATCTTCAAGAACGAACCTCGTTCTTCCATGCAGGAACTCCAAGCGTTTCTTCCCAAAACTTTAGAACTCTGAAGGCTAGTTGGCGAAGGTAGGTTTCGGTGTTTAATCAATGATCTTGTGTGTTTTGATTTGTGGTTTAATGTGAAGGTTTATAGCTCGATCAACAAATCTAAGTTTGGATGAATCTATTAATCAAATAATATGGTGGTTGAGTTTTAAAATCAATGAAAGTGTTTTGGATCTTCAAATGAATGATCTCTATGGAATAATTATGATTCAACTTACTTTGGGACGTTCATGAGGTTAAATATATATAGGGGAAAGTGTTTGGGATGAAAATGAACTCAAAATCAAGAGTTTGAAGCAAAACAGGTAACTTGGTCCTTAACCTGCTACTCAAGTGCTAGGCCAGTGGCAGATGTTCTGCTTTTGCCCCTCGAATGCCTGCTGGGCGGTAGGCTAACGAAAAAGTGTCCTTCTCAATATCAACTTCTTCAAGTTCAAATCTTGATCTTTTTCTTGGATTTCTTTGACTTCTTTTTGGATTCTATCACCGCAAACTATTTTTTCACAATAACTTGGACTTTACTAAACTTATTTTGACTTTAATTACAACTTGATTAATCCTAATACAATTCAACTAAAATATGATTTTGACTTAGAAAATTGCCGGTTACACTTTTAGACTTAACAGTAACTGCAAAGAATTTTTTTTTTTTTTCTATCCAAGTTATTTAATTGGGATTGTACTCTTTAAAGCTTCTCCAATCATCAGTCTAAGCATTTTAATCATGATTTCTTGGACCATGTTGATCATTAACAATTCTTTTATTTTCACCACACCATATGTTTTGTTTTCTCATGTGCTATATTGTTGGCTTTTGTTACTTCATATATCCATGATTAATCCTGATTTGTTTAATGCCACATTTCTTTCTCTTTATTTGTCATCTAACTGTAATTTGAGAATGGGTAAATAGCACAGAACATCCCCACATTTCAATGTCATTGTGCAAAATGTCCATGCCTTTCATTTTTTGGCAATTTCACTCTTACATTCCACATTTCATTGCGCAAAGGTCATTGTCAACCATTTTTTCAATAAAAGACAATTTTACCCTCCTATTCAAATAAAGCAAAAAGAAAAAGATGAATAACCAACTACAACTATAGTTCTTAAATTTTTAAAAAATTACAAAGAAATTATAAATTCTCCACTACCACCACTTTCACAACCTACCAAGCTGCCACCTATAGATCCACATAGCACCACCTTTCGGAAATCACGCCCACTGGATTCCACCACCACCAACCTCGCTTCACTCCCCCACCGTCCTCCCCCACACGAATTTGAAGATTGGAGCACTTAGGACCCACCAATTTTGGGCAGACAACTCTCTCCATACATCGCGCTCGTGGAGAGTTTTGGACTAGAAATTGAAACGGTTGGGGGATAATTGGTTCAATTAGATTCATGCCCATTATCGTTTGGGTTTATTGAAGGTTTGATGAATGCCAATTTGGGGATTTAGTGTTGTAGGATGCATGAATTGACGAAGAAGAGTTTGGCAAAATGGACATCGCTAATGTCGAATGTCTAGATTATAGTAGAATGATTTGAGGCAGGTTTGATTGATGTGAGACCATGTATAGGTTCATCAAGGTGAGGGGTAATCGTCGGTGGTGGTGTGCAACCGTGGGTGGTGGGTTGTATAGGTAGTTTGGTATTTTAAACTGCAAATGTGGCTGTTTTCGACAGATTTTGTAATCAATACCGTGGGAGAGGATGTTGGGGAGAGTGAAGAGGCTAGTGGTGGAGTCCGACGGGCATGGTGGCCTATGTGGATCTATAGGTGGCGGCTTGGTGGGGTTGTGAAAGTGGTGGTGGAGGTGGAGAATTTAGAACTTATCTGTAATATTTTGAAAATTTTAGGACAATGATTGCAATTAGTTGTTTATTTTTTCTTTTCTTTTTTCTTTTTGTTTCATTTGAATAGAAGGGTAAATTCGTCGTTTTATTGGAAAAATGGTTGAAAATGACCTTTTGCGCAATGAAAGGTGGAAGATAGGGGTGAAAATGCCAAAAAAAATGAAAGGTATACACGTTTTGACATTGAAAGGTATGAACGTTATGTGCTACTTATCCTTTGAGAATTTATTTGTTATGTTAACTTGTTTTTCATTTGAGATTATTCTCTCTCTTTAGATTCATACAACTGTGGATGGTTATTATTATGAGTCATAGTAGTCCTCTTAAATATAAAAAAATACTCGTGCATATGTGCATGTAATTCTCTCAATCATGTTTAGTTCTGTTTGAGTTTCAAGGTGATCACAGAATTTATCTCTATTTTCCCATTTCTCTATTTTCCTCTCCCATTTTGTCAGGATTCTCTCAATAATTTATGCATCTCTTTCCCTTTCAAGGCTGAAAATTGAAATAGTAGAGCTATTTAATTTTTGCCTACTCTTTGAATCATGATATGGCATATTTCCTTCATATATGTGATCGTATTTTTTGGGGTTGGAGGGGTTATGTGGTGGGGGCTTTACCCAAGTCCGATCCTGGTTTGGCCTCTGCTTTCATTGAAATATTGATCACTGTTTCATTTGAACTTTTTACAAAATAGACATGCTCCACTATACACCATCTTGAGTGGAAGTAACTCTCCTGCCATAATATACTTGTTTGTACTTTTGTAGGTTTTGGTTCGATATCAGTTGCCTATGGTGGTTGTGGTCTTCAACAATGGTGGAGTTTATGGTGGTGAGAGGAGGAACCCTGACGAAATAACGGGTCCTTACAAGGACGACCCAGCACCTACTTCTTTTGTCCCTGGCTGGCGCAGCATATTAGTTCTCCTTGAAGCTTTTGGAGGAAAGGGTTATCTTGCTGGAACCCCAGATGAACTTAAAACAACGCTTGCTGAATCTTTTTCAGCACGAAGACCTACTGTCATAAATGTTACCATCGATCCATATGCTGGTGTAGAAAGTGGAAGACTGCATCACAAAAACTGAGGTGGAGTACATTTAGTTTATGCATA